CTGTTTTGCGATACTTATGCGAGACCAAAATCAAACAAACACATATTCAAGAGCACATTATTTGCCAGGTTAGCACTTGTGTCTTCTTTTTTTCAATATACGGACAAGATAAATCTTTCCCTCTTCAACACACAAAATTATCAGGTTGCAAAAAAAGACACTTGACTTTCAATTTGGTCACAAATGAGTCTTTAGCCTCTTCATCAAAATGATTTGTTTTTTTGTTCATTTGAAATATGTTTATGTTTCTTTTTTGAAACAATCGCATGATTTATTTTCTTCTATTTCTGCTGCTCTATAGATGGCGTAGACTTTGTAGTATTTTTTTTGTAGAATACCTATACATATTATATGACAATTGTAACTTTTTTTGAAAATCTACACTGATTTTGTATCTTGGAAGTTCATTTGAAAATAAAATTGTGGTTATAAATTACAGTTTTTCTTTTTTTTTATATGCCGTGTTTGATACTTTGCTAAATGTTCCTTCGATGTGTCCAATTACTCAAGTGGACACTCTACTCTATCAAACAATTTCGGGTTTTGACTTGCTTTCCCCTCATGTAACGTATATGTAAAACAAGAAATTCGAAAAATCTTTTAAATGCTGCAAATGCGCGATCGTTGCGTAAGTTTGAACATTCTCAGACACACACCAAGTAAACCAGAAATTCTTGCTGAAATGTATGAAACGGGATACCTAAAATGGCACAGCATTCAGAGATTTTGATTGGAATTCCATCCTCTTGAAGCATCTTTTCCTGGGGTCTCCCTCCCACTTGTTAGACAACATCTTCTCTTTTTCCCACCCTTTCAAAGCGTTTTCGAGCACTGAACGCATCATTTTTAGAAAACCAAATGACACCGCTAAAGTGCAGTGAAAACACCTTTTATCTTTGTTACCAAAAGAATGGAAAAACCGTAAAAAATGAAATTTGATACACAATCTCTAAAACCTCTCGAATTTTGTTATTCGTTGTGTGTGTGTGTTTTTGTCTCATTCATAACCACTCTTTCTCGTTACCCGATATTTGATTTACTTGTCCTTGCACCCCCAATTGAAAGAACAGATTTCACTCAATTGTGTCAATATTGGAGACCCATGCATTGTTCTGCAATTTTTGAAAAAAGGCACCAACAGTTTGTCGAATTCAGCTTTTCCCACAGTTTTCATCATGTACGGTTTCTGTTTGATGTTTTTCACTGAACTGAATTTTTCTCAATCTGATGATTTTTTCATACACCACATGGTTTCAATTCTCTAATGTGATGTATGTTCGTTTTCCTCCACACTGTTTATTTGATTTGATTGGAAATCCGTGTTTCTGATAATAAATACTTTAGATTTTTTAATTCCCGATTTGTTCCCCAGCTTTCGATTTTTCCTTTTTCTGCATTTTTCGTGTTACAGGTTTTGAACAATGAGCGTTGCGAAATTTCAAAACTTTGATTGGGACCTAAGCATTGCTAATCTTTCGTCTTCTGACTTCCCAATTGAACAATTCCGACACAGCAATGATGAGGTATATTTTTCTAATAATAAAAATTTAAAAATTCGTTTTTTTCAGAATGAATTTGAAACAATTGTGGGAATCGCAGTGATTTTCTCTGCGGTCACTGGAATATTCACAAATCTATTAGTGATATTGTTGTCATTCGGTCATGTTCATGGTGACTTTCGTTTCTTTGTGGCAAACCTTGCAGTTGTGGATATTTTATGTGGATCTGTTTTTATGTTCATGGGCTATATAAATGTAAATGATGATCATCATATCCCCAGCCAGTAAGTTATACACTCAATTAGCAGAGTTTTATTGGCTATTTTAGGTTTTTATATTACATGACATTAGCATTTTATGGATCCTTTGGGACCATGATATGCGCAATTGTGCCGATTTCTCTGAGCCGAGTTTTGGCACTTTCCAACGCGTCTGTGTATACAACAGTGAGGGAATATCAAGTTTATCCGGAAAATGTTATGTTTCTTTTCAGATCTTCGGTGGCAGACGTTCGCTGTTCTTCTGCGTGTTTTTGGATTTGCTTCCGATAGGGATACTTTATGTGAGTTTTTTTAAATCTTTTGGTAAAGACAGATAAAGTGAATCCGCCTACTAATCATCGATTTAATGTAAACGGAAATACCTAATAATCAAGAAATGGAGCAGTATTACAGTTGATATGTGTGGTGGATCACGATTTGGCCAAAATTCTTTTCTACTGCTTTGCTTTTATTACTACTTTTGCTTACTTTGTGGCGTTTACTACAAACTACATGGTATTCCGTGTAGTCGGTGAGTCAGTATTTTCTTCTGAACTTTTTTTATGTTTCATTCCAGCAAAACATATAAAAGTGGTAGAGAATCTCCATGACCAAGCAAGACTACTTGAAACCAGACAAGTAGCGATTGCGACCTTAGCCCAAGCTATAATTCCTCTTTTTTGTCAGGTAAGAAAACATAATAATAACTCATGAAGATATGTTTTGAAGGTTCCCGCATTCTTGACTCTCAGCTCTGTTCTGCTGCTTTCCGAGCCGTTAACAAACGGCCATGTCATTATCATAACTCAACTATGGTTGGCCTTGAGTCCATTTCTAGATGCAGTGATTACTATAATTGTTATCAAGCAGTATAGGTTTGAAAAAAAAATTATTTTGCTGACATGTAACTGTTTAGAAAAAATTGGCTTACATGTGCATCAACAGTTGGAAAACGAATTTGGAAGCCAAAAAACAACGACGTATTGAACAGTGAAGAAAAAAAAGTATTAGAAACCCGACTTTGAGATTTAAGCCGCTGGGTGAACATTTTTCAAATGTTGAATGTTGTAAAACTTTATTTTGATCTCAATTTAATAAACAAGGGTTACACATTTTTAATTGAATTACATCAATCTACTCAAAGTCGCAATGATGCTTTTTACAAATTCTAGATGTTCTCGAAGTAAGTAATGAAGAAACGGAATCATCTGAAACGTTTTTATATGTTTTCTGTAAAGAAAATGGTATTTTTCACACTTTTTTGATTGCAAGAATCACAAGTTTTCGGGCACAATACTTTGACAAGTTTTCTATTGAAGTCTTTTTGGTCATCACATTTGCAGTGACAGCTTCGTTCTGGTCCACCACAACATCTTCCTCCTTTTTTCCCAATATTGCATTTTTCCTTGTTCTCATTTATTTCTGACTTTTGATTGTTCAACCTGAAAGGAATCGAACCTATGCTAATGTTGTTGGAGAACTGTACCCAAAAAAAAACTAACCAAGTGTGGTCGATGAACTCCAGCATTCTAGATTTGTTCTTCTGATTAATAGAAAACGTTTGAATGACTTCTCTCAAAAATGCGGCGTGTTCAATTTCAGAATTGCAATAAATTCTCATCTTCTCACAATCTTCCACCAAGTCTACACATTTTTTCGTTGGAGGCTTAGTTGTCGTGATTGGAGCAGACGTGGTAGTCGTCGTTGTGAGAGCATCGGTCGTAGTGGTCGTAGTGGTAGAAGTGGTTGTAGTCGGTGTCTGCGTGGTTGTTGACGAAGTTGAGGGCGTTGTTGGAGCTGGCGTGGTAGTCGTCGCAAGTGTAGTTGTTGGGGCTGGCGTAGTAGTTGTGGTAGTCGTCGTGGTTGTTGTAGTTGTTGATGGAACCTCAGTTGGAACTTCACGTTTGACGGCAGTTCCTTTTCCTTCATTACCTAAAAAAGTTAGTTTGATGCGAAAAATCAAACTTAGAAATAAAAAATTATATATGTGACACACCCTTTTATGATAAAATAGAAATCTACTACATCTACTGAACAAAGCACGCACCAGAAACAATGTTGCTCCATTGCTGTTGAGTAGCTGTTAGCCATTTTTCAACTTCTTCTTTAGTCATTATTTTTACAATGTATCCATTTGTTCCATTCAATGCACAATGTACGTATTGTTCTCCAAACTGTTGAATTGCGTTCACCGTTACCACTTCCTTAGAATAAATGCATCCGACCTGAGTCCACTTGAACTCCACTCTTCCGTCTCGGTTGAAATTGAACCCGCAAGACTCCAAACGATCCCCATTTTTAGCTCTGTTTTCGAACGGAACAACTTCTCCTGCTGCATTGACGCAGCCTTCTAGAAACGCATTAGAAATTGTTATACAGTTGGTAACTATAAGTCATACTCAAATCCCCAAACGATCTGACCCGAGTTCCTTGAAAACAATAATAGGCATTAGAGCCAATGTATCGAATGGCATATAATGGAATTAACAAAGATTCCACTAAACATCCTTTCTTTTCAATTTTTCCGAATTGACAAGCGTATGCGGTTGACCCATCTTCCGATACCCATTCTTGATTATGACGGTATATGTTATTACCATGTTTGCATCCAAGTTCTAAGAATAGACATTTAGGCTCTACTATGATATCTTGGTCCTGGAAAAGATTTTGATCCTTAGAAAAAATTTTGATCCTTAGAAAAAATTTTGGTACTTCAAAAAATTTTGGTCCTTAAAAAAAGTTTGGTCCTTAAAAAAAGTATTGGTCCTCAAAAGGATTCACATTTTTATGGACATTTTTGAATACTTGTTGCATTTTGATTCAATTATTAAGTTTTTAAAAGTTTTTTTTCCATTAAGTTTCACTTTTTTCGAAGTTTAAGACACTTTCCCCATGAAAGTCAACTTCCGGGATATGGCCCAAAAAATCCGAACTTGTTTTTTTGCATCGAGATTGTAATTACCAAATGTCAGGAGACTTCTAACAAGGGAAGGTTTATCAGACAACGGTTGAGAATTTTCTAAAAATTTGTACAAAGGTATTTTCGAACATGCTGAATCCGAATCTAAAAACATTTTTAGCCTGTTCTCAAAAGGAGCCGAAATATGGCCTCTGAAAGTGCTTTTAGTACTAAATTTTGACCAAAAACATGCATTTTTCGAGGTTAAAAATTAGTTTTTCAGGATTTGCTTGAGTGCGAAACTCATTTTTGGACATTTTTCTATCTTCTAAAGTAACTTTTAAACATTTTCAAAAAACGTTTTTTTTGAAAAATTTTGAACAAAATCACCATGGGGTCCCCACACTTCGAAAATGATTTTTTGAAAATTTTTTGAAAAGTGCGAAAAAACGTTCCAATTATTCAGAAACGATAAAAATAGCATTCTGACAAATTTTTTCAGCCCAATATTGTCTTTGGGCTCAGAAAATCTTCAAAATCTGATTGTTGTTAGAACTTTGACAGTTCCTAATTTCTGAAATATCGCTTGAACTTAACTGAAACCTATAGAAATAGGTTCAAATCTTGTATGTGATCGATTTGACAGTACTCCACCTCAAAAAGAGCAAAATTGAGCAACTTTCAGAGACTGAAATTTTCGTTTTTAACGATACGAGGATGTAAGAACCGGTCGAAAAGACCATTATCTATTTTTTTTCTCAAACTCTCATGAAATCTTTTTTTTTTGAAAACTTTTGAAATTAATCAAAAAGTGTCATATAGTGCCTAGGGGGGCAAACTTGGAATCAAAAATTAGTTTCAAAAAATGCAAAAAAATTTTTACCATAGTGGGGGTCGAACCAGCATAGTCAATCCTAATGAGTCACCCTCTTACCACAACACCACACAACCGATATTTTCCTCTCACGCGGAATTGGTAGAGGAGGGAAGGGGAAGTCGAAATCCCCAGCGCACTGAAATCGGCCCAAATTTTCAGAAAAAGTTTTTCGGCCTGGGAGTGAGAACGGGCTAAAAATTTTCTCGTCATCGTATAGAGCATGTCTCAAACTATAAGTATGGAAATTTTGAGCAAATTCTCAACCATTGTCTAAAAAACCTTCCCTTGTAAGATACAGGAGCCACATTTGGATTGGTCCTCCGCGGTACTGTTCAAACGGTGACCAATTTTGTTTTGCCAATGAAAATATTTCTCGATACGAATAATGTCTGGATTTAACTCGGAATAGTTTATGTTTGTTATTTTAAGTATTTTCTGTGCTGAAACAACATGTCTTATTTGTTTCTTTTAGCTGAAAAGTTTCATTTTTGTGAAATAAATATGAATCTGTTGTAGTAAAAATGTTAACATTATTTTGTCAAAGATAGCACTAGAACTGTAGTCAGATTACATTAGGAAAGGTTTATTCAGCTTATAAAAGCCTGTTCCCTATGAATGTTCTGTCAAAAAGTGTGAAAAAGGTTTCTTCCCGTCCAGGGGTACCTGGAACCAAGACTTTGACTCAAACATCACCATC